ATAGTCTTTTGATGAAGGGTTGGGGTGGTGCGTTTGGGTGGTCTTAACAACCAGGGCTTCCCCCCCCCCGCCGGGGGGTGTTGGGGAATTCTGGGAGATGAAGTCCACACATCTTCAAGTTGCCAAGGTTGAGAAACACTGATTTAGAAGAATTAAGTCAAAGAAATACAGCCTGAGTAAGAATGTCCTTCCTTCAGGGGGGTAGAGAGAACTGAGCCCTGAGCTTATGTAACAAAGCAGGGGTCTAGGGCTAGACCTCCCCCCCACAACACCAATTGGAATTAGCCTCAGCTATAGGTGCCACATCATGATCATGGATCATGAGGACCTTCTTCCAGACTGACCTAGCCTGGAAGTAGCGACAGCCTGAGTCCCGGACCATTGAAGATCTGGTGACCAGGCATTGGGGGTTGGAACCAGGGCCTGGAAGAAGGAGTTGGTACAAGCCACCAAGTAGACCTTCTCTGAGTATGGCTTGCCCCCTATCTCCCACCATATCTCCCTCGGCCCCTCAGGACTAAGATGTTACAGTGTGTCCATAGCTCCTGATCGAACCAACACCCCCCAAACTCTGCCATTGCTCCCCAAGTCCAAGATCTCATCTAAATATAAACCAGCCCTGCCAGGGTCAAAGCTCACTTTTGCTCAGGCACTCAGTGAAACCTGGGTCCAAACAAGCCAACGGTCCCACCTGCAACAGACCTCATTCTCAACCAGCTCTTGCTGGGACTAAACTGGGCATAATCCTCTACAGATTGGCATGAACTGAGATGCCACCCCCACCCTCTCACCCCTCAAGGAAGGCAAATGCCCACCAACTCAGTCCAGTCTATCCACCAGCTACCAGGGAAAATGCCAGGGAAGATGTCTGCTGGTCCTTGGCCTTCCTTGGTCCCATGTCCTTTGCCATATGCCTAAGCCCTATGTTTGAAACGAACAGACCCTTTCCTAGACAGATGTCCACTTCTAATTTATTCTTAGGTCTCCAAATGGCTTAATCAGTTTCTCTGGAGTCTCTTGTCTCATTCCCACCCATCTGTTCATGTCACCAGACAGAATAATTCCCGTCCCCCCACCCTCCCGACTGCGTTCAAAATGTTGGATAATTTTCCCCCCAGCTTGTCACAGATTCTTCTATTATCCCCATACAGTGGAATATGTAACTATCATCAGCGTATCCACAGCCTAGAGGACTACACAGTGCCTACTTTCTGACACACATTTGATTTTTCTGTTTTTTTATGCTTTTATATTTTTCTTTTAACACTGTTAGATGCCCAGAGTCATGAATCTGAGGCAGGCTGCCATATAAATTGAAATAATACATAAATACATTTTTATTTTCTCCTCTGTAATCAAACCCACCTGTAGATATTTATCCACTCTACTCCACAAAATCAAACTATCTTCATTGTGATCCATCGCATCTTTCCCCTTCCTTAGTTCCCCAAACAACATGTCCTTCCTTCCTTCCTTCCTTCCTTCCTTCCTTCCTTCCTTCCTTCCTTCCTTCCTCCCTCCCTCCCTCCCTCCTTACTCCACTCCACTCCACTCCACTCCACTTTACCATTTACTCCTCTTACATTCTAAGTTGCAATCCTCCATATGTCATGGCCATCATCGGATGGGCCCAGAGTTAGTGACTTCTTCTGTCCATCATGCTTTGGTCAATCAAGACCCAGTTTGGCATAGTGATTAAGATGCTGGATTAGAAACCCGGGGATTGTGAGTTTGGGTCCTCCCATCAGCATGGAAGCTGATGGGTGGGTGACTTTGGACCAATCCTTCTCTCTCAGCCCAACCCACCTCACAGGATTGTTGCTGTGGGAAAAATAGGAGGTGGGAGCATTACACCATCTTGAGTTCTACAAATATAAAGGTGGGATATATAAATCAAATAAAGAAGTTTTCATGTAATGCTTGTTCAAAAGACTGAGAAGGTGTAGGCTCAGCTACCAGTCTTTGTGGTAGCTGTGCCACAGATAACATTCCCTACTCATGGCACCTGTACCACTCACTTTGAGTAGTATACTACAAACACAACTGAAGTCCAGTCCTATCCCAAGTGCTCTCACACTATTCGGTACAAGATGGGATCTCTAATCTGGCTGGCATCGTGCCCAGGTTAACCGGAGAATAATCTCATTGAGAGGGAATAATTAGGTCTGTTTTTCATCTAGTTGTGACACATTCTACTGGCTCTTACTTACTTGGGAATTTGACAATGAGCTGCGGTCATCACCCATCTCCGTCTCACCAAGAACCCACCGCAGATGTGTCTGTTCTCCCGCTGGATGGATGCCATAAAGGGCCGAGAATGGGGTGTCACTTCCTTGCCCCCAATGACCCATGTCCTCAAGGTCCCAGGAGCAAAGCAGAGACCTGCATCAAGAGGCACAATGGGAGCAAATGATGTTTTCTAGATTCATCAGGAATGAGTTACTCTTGGGCCATATGTAGCCCACGCTGCTATGACCTGAATGGACCCTGGTTAGAAATACTACTTCATTATATGAAGGTTGTAAGTTATTTTAGGGCCCTGTTTTGGATCGTTTCTGTGGTCACGGAGTCCTGAAAAAGGCCCAATTTTTCGAAACACGTTGGGCCAAATGAAAACTTTGTCACTGGCACTTGGGATTCTTCTCTCTTGTTTTTTTTATGTAGACAGGGAGCAGAGAGAGTCACACTTAACCAGGACTGTGAAAAGCCTAGCAGATCTATGCCCAAAACATGTAAACCTGATGTTAACCTTGGATAGGTTTTATAGCTTAACCTACTGTGGCTAGGATCATCTTATTTGGGCTGCAAAACTCCAGATCAGTGTTTCTCAACCTTGGCAACTTTAAGATGTGTGGACTTCAACTCCCAGGATTCCTGAGATCCCATAGCTGGCTGGGGAAT